AATTTGACCTAGTATCTTTCTGGCTACATGTTGATTATAGCCTCAAGGTTTCCTGAGAAATGCAGATCACTCAATCTGATACTTAGCTGAGAAACTTTTCTTTGGGAATAGGCTTTGCTTTTTTCTTCTCTGGTGCGACTAGGTCATGAGACCTACCTGCAGGCGCAGGTCCAACCAGATCCTGTGCCAATTATGGAAGAAGTAGGAGGAGAAAGAATTCCATCTTCATTATTCAACAGGATAAAAAGCTGAAGCCAAATGTTGACAGACCTAGTATGTGGACCACTGTGGTTTTGCTCTTGTACTCATTCACTTACCCACTTCTCCGAGCCCCAGTCATTGCAACAGGCACATGTGTGCTCTGCATAGGTGATATAATGTCAGGCAGCCTGAAAGATAGTGAGACCCCCTTAGGTGGAGATCAAGGGCAGAGCAAGTCAAGCAGAGAGAATAAGGTGTATACAAGCCCTGTGGCTGCAGTGGATGTTACAAGAGGCAGGGTGGCTGGAGGGCCAGACAGGAAAGGGCCTTGTGGGTCCATTATAGATGTTTGTCTTTCTCTGAAGTATGGAGGGAAGCTTTTGCAAAGGATTTTAGGAGGAAGGATGGATATAGTGAGATTAATACTTAAAAATTGCTCTGGCATTTTAAGAAACAGTCCTTCTTTTATTTCCTTCTTGTAGGATTGATAGGACAGGATAGTGGATGTGGGAGGTTGCAGTAGGCAAAAGTGGACTTGAGGAAATCAGCTAGGAAACCTTTGCAGTATTAATGGAGTTGAGAAATGATAATGAAGGTACAGGGTGGTGGTAGTGAAGAAGAGAAAAAAAAGGACTGAGATACTTAGGAGAGAACAATGAGAACAAAGTGGGTTTGTTCTTTTTTCTCTATCATTCCAACTCTATTTTCAGTTTTAGACTTGGTTTTCTTTCTTCATGTTTATCTTTTCAATTTATATTCTAGTGAAGGAAAATCAAAATGAATAGATTTTTTAAAAAGAAAATTCACATCACAATATGGATATGTTTATATATAACCCATGCCAAAGACTTTGAAGTGGTTTTAAATCTGCATTATGTACAATACAATACTTAATAGCATAGATTTTTTTTTTTTTTGGTACCAGGGATCGAACTCAGGACCTTGAGCTTTCGAGGCAAGTGCCGGAACCACTGAGCTAAATCCCTGGCCCCAATAGCATAGATTTTGCAGAATATTGACTACAAGCCACAGATTCTCCATCTAGAAAAAAGGGAGGATAATAGTGCTTAACTTGATTGATTGCTTAGAGAATTAAATGAGATAATACATATAAAATTACTAGTACAGCACCTGGCATGATGAAAACGCCTATGAATGTAAACTAGCATCGTTATTCATAGTTTCTAGCTGGCCATTTTCTTGCCAGGTGACTGAGGCTCCCAGAGGCCTTCAGAGCCACCACTGAGCTCTGCACAGGCAGTTACTGTGCAACAGACTTGTGCACAGATTGCAAGTCTCCTGAAAAGACAGTTCTACATATTGAATTTAATTCTGCCTGTTACCTCCCAAAGCCAGGTTCTGCCTTAGGGACTGTAGAACTTGTTGGAGAGGCTTCACGGTGGGAAAGATGGAGAGGAAAAGAGGGGGATACTGTGAAGTGGGACACAGTTTCTGCTCCTGCTGGGTAATTTAGTAGTGGGTTTTCTTGAGGCTCATTTTGTTACAGGGCTCTGATTTGTTTTCTTATTCCTCACTCATTTATTGAACATTTACAATGTGTCAAATACTGTTACAGGTAACAGATTTTGCTGAGGTGATCTATCTTGCCAGCAAATTTTATTCTCCTGAAATTCTTAGCTGGCTTAAACTTCCTCCACCATAGGAAAGAAAGGACTCAACTGGACACATTGTCTGTCCTAGAGTAGAACAGAAAAGCAAATCCTATTGCATAGACTTTGGAGCTTATTCCTACTGGGGGCATTGTTCAGGGGGAGGGGACATAGAGAAGTTTATGACACCAATGAACACTCTTCCTATTAGTTCTCTAAATACCCACATGAGTAATTTATTGTTATTACAGATGAGATTGAGGTTATGAAGTTCAGTGATTTTCCCAGGCGGAGGTAGAATTTAAGACTTGGATTTCATAGTCCATACATTCTTTCTTTTATAGATTGAAAAATATTTACTTAATTGTAAACAAATTTAATGGCTTTGTCCATTAAACAGTTCACAGTTGGCTTTACATTAGTTGTTAGAATCTCTGGTTAATAGATTTTGCAGTGAGTAACCTTTCATAATGACTGACGTATGAGGCCTGTGATATTGCTCAGTGGTTTCCAAATGCCAACCCATGGACCAATGATGGTCTATGACAAAGTTCTCAACAATCTCAGGAAAATGTGGAGTAAATTGAAGTTAAAGGCTGCTTCTCTTACCGTGTGTCTTCCCAACTTTCTATTATGGCGTGATAATGATGGTGGGTAATTTTATTTTTTTTCTTTTATAAGGGTGATTATTATCTTATTAAATTAAAAGTTGAGAGGCCTATATCCATCAATTTCTTTTTGTTAAAATTCAGTGTTTAGTTTAATTCAAAAGGCTAGGGAAACTTCATATAGCTAACTAAAAGAAAAATAGAAATTCTGTTTCTGGCAATATGAATACCAGATATTCAAAAAAGTCCTTCTCGTGCAAAACACTTAAAAAGAAAGTAAAATTGGGGAAAAAAACCTTTTAATATGTATAGTTTTATTAGCAAGAAAGAAAAATTCTAGGAGTCCAAAAATGACAAAAAAGCACAAATACAGAGAAAGCCACATTTTGGAAGAGAAGGTTCTGAGCAAGGTAGGGAATAGGATCAAAGGCTTTTGTTCTAAAGATGGTGCTCCTAAAGGTGCTACCCTTGGTGTAAAGAAGAAATGGAGGGGTGCCCCTCAAAGGGAGCCTACTAAATATAATTGCCTTGGCCTTCAGATGTTGGAAAGTATAAATTTCTCCTGAGAAATTAGTAAGAGTGAGTCACTCTCACTGGATTTAAGGCTAGAGTTCCCACGACTAGTATCAGCTGAGAAATCACAAATTGAGAATTTAAAATATTCTGGTTGTAGTGCCTCCAGATGCCTGGTAGGAGCAAACACAAATCCTCCCTGGAGGTATGCCTGTTGATTCCAGGCCTCAAAGAATTTCTAGCATATAATTCCAATTAACATTAGCAGTAAGTGAAAAATCACAAAATAAATGAGGAAACAAGATGTCACAAGAAGAAATCAAAAGAAATATCAAGAAGCAGAATCAGACCTGAAAAACTTCAGGTATTAGAAATGTTGAATACAAAATATAATATAAAAGAGGTACAAGAAGTTAGCTAGTAAATTTAAACAAAGAACCAATTAGAAATGAAATGAAAAATATTCTCTCTGGCATTTAAAAGTTTCAGTTGATGAAGAAAGAGTTAATGAGCTAGAAGATAGATATGAAGTAATTATTCTGATGCATGGAGAGATAAAAAAGATTGAAAATTTGGAAGGTAAGTTAAGAGAAAGAGAAGATAAAGTGAGGAGATACATATCTATAGAAAGTAGTAGAGTTAATGAGATGTGTATTCTAAACTTTGAATGGATGAAAAAATTTTAGAATGGAAGAAATACAGGAATTTTCAGATTCAGAACCCTGATGATATCATGCAGGATGAATTATAAACCCATGTGTGGACACACCAAACTCCAAGCAGGGTCATATGGCCGAAGAGGGTGGTGGCACAAAGCTCACTTCACGGCAACTGAGAGTCAGAGCAGGGGTACAGGGCCAGAAGAGATATGTTCTACAGAGGCAAATTCTAGTGACCCACCTCCAACCCAGCCCCACCTCCTCAAAGCACTTTCAGCTGAGAACATCTGTGGATTAATCCACAGATGAGTATAGTGTCCCCTTGATCCAGTCACCTTCCTAGGATTCTCTTATTCTAGTGAAGTTGACAGGTAAGTTTAACAGTCACAGAAATAAATTTTGATCAGTTTTATCATCCAGTGCAGTTACTTTGCACTGCTATGCACTGTAGTTGAATTTTGCCTTGAAAAATTCTATATTTATTTTCCCACTATGAGGGCACTCTGAGAAATCCAAGTCATTGCAAAATCACAGTGAGATCCAGCATGGGATCTCTTAGATTATAAATTTCTTGAGTGACAGTCACAACTACCTAAGAAGTTGTGGGTCCATTAACCACTACCACCCTTGGTTGTAGGCTTACTGTCCATATGTCTCAGGGTGGTCAGCTTCCTTCTAAGATGGCAGGAAGAATTTCAAAACCACAGGAAATATGAAAGATGCTGTATTCATCTTTCCTACTGCTTAGCTTCCACCTCTTCTCTTTGGCCAGAGGACACTACTCAATGACTTGCAGGAGAGGTTTTCTCACTTTTCATTTAGAGTTCAGTTTCAGGAACTGGCCCCAAGTGGGCAGAATCCACTTTATATCAGGGCATTATTACAAAAATAATATGTACTCTTTATTTAAAAAACAAACAACACCAAAGTATGTAAGGTAAAAACAGAAAGTTGCCTATAATTTAGGTGCATCTCATTTCTCATAGCCACTATGCACAGTTTTACATGAATCCTTCCATATCTGGATTCATTTATTCTTTTACCTAATACTGTATCTTGGGAATGTTTTAATATCAGTACATACAGAACTATCTTATTGTTGGACAGTATTTCATGGAACAGATGTACTACAATTTCTGATGGACTACACTGTCTGATAGAAATACAAGTTGTTTCCTATGTCTTACAAAAAAACCACAAAATCTCAGTGATTATTCTTTGTACATATTTGTAAGTGCTTGTGAGAATATTTCTCTAAGGTAGATTTCTAGAAATTTGATTAACTTGTCAAAGGATCTACATGTTTTACATTTTAGCACACTGTACTCATGTTTGTTTTAATTAAAAATGTTTAGGGTTTTCAATGAAACCTAGCTGTTTTATTTTGTTTTATCCTATTTAACTCCTAGAATACTGGTGATGTGGTCTTGGAGAAGCCTTTCTACAGAAGACTAAAGAAGTGGAGAAACCATCAAGGGAAGTGTTGAAGCTCATCGAGGAGAGCCGCACAGCTACACCAGCATCCTCAGGTTCCAGAGAAAATGAGTCTGAAGAAACAAATATATCAAGATCAAGAAAGAAATGAGAAGGCTGAGTGTTTAAGACCATAAGAAGAGAGTTGTTTTCTTTTTAAATTAACGAGTTACATAACTTAGATAATGCTGTAAAATGTGCTCTTTTGCATGTAGGTCCTTATCTCCTTAGAAATAAAATAATTTTATTCAGCAGCATTTTTATATTCTAATATCTTACAAGTTTCAAGTATTTCATGACTTAAGCTTTCATAATTCTCAGAAAGACTTACACTCCCCAAGAGCAGAGACAATATTTTGGAACAAAAAATGCTTTCAATAAATGTTTACATAGCTGCCCTCAACAGAAGTGAATATATAAAGGAAAAATAAATAGGTAAGGTCCTTTTACCTTTCAGACATTCCCCAGACAAAGAATACAATTCAAAATTTTACAGTCTTGGCCTTCAGAGAGGTGAGACAGAAATGTGTAGGCATTTCTTGTTTTCTTTTCTACATCTCCCTTCTTTGCTCTTTAAAAACGTTATATCCTGAGATGGCTTAGTGATAAAACCTATAGAGAGAAGCTGTGTCTGAAGGTTCTTTTAAGTGCACAATAACAAATACTTCTTCCTCCTGGTTAAATTCTGAGATTCTGAGTAAGATATTTTCTGTGGCCAAAAGATTTTCCTCACTAGTTTTAGTCCAATGCAAGTTCTTTGAGGTCAACTGAGGTGGGCCGACTTGAAGAAGGTCTTTGCACATGGCTGACACTAAGAGCTCCACTCAAGTATGAGTTTGTCAAAACTGCCTGAGCTGTAGGTCAGGGATTTTTTACATCCACAGCCTTCAGAGTGTTTCCTTCAGTGTGACTCCTTATGTGCCAAAGAAAAGAAAATCTGCCACAGAAAGCTTTCCCATATTATTTGCTTCTAAACTTTTTTTTCATTATTGTGGATCTTATTATGCTGGACATAAAGTAGAGCCATGGGCCATGACCTTTCAACATTCACTGCTCTTCTAGAGCTTCTCTCCTATGTGACTCCTGAGTGTTGAGTAAGGGAGCAGCTGGAGTAAAAGCCTTTTTCACACTTCTTCAGTTAAGGCTTCAGTGTGCGCCACACCATACTGGAAAAAGCTAGAATAGTGAGTGAAGGTCTTTCCACTCATTGCACTTACAGGCTTTCTCTCCAGTGTGACCTTTGTGTGTAGGCCTAAGGAAGAGTTGTAGTATACAGCTTGCCCACATTTTGCCCTCCATATTTGCTGCACTCAAAGGCTTCTCCCGGTGTGAATCTGGTGGTAGCTTGTGAGGCGTGACCTACAGTTAAAGATCTTCCCACACTTGATGCACTTATAGAGCTACTTCCATGTATGAATCCTCATGTTCTGAACAAAGTCTACTTCTTCAGGAAAAGCTTTCCCACACACCTGGCCTTCACTCATAAGGCTTCAACTCCAGGGTGAACCTGCTGGTATCCAACAAGGAGGTATTTCACATTGAACAATTTCCCACATTGCTGCATTTGAAGAGGCCCTTCCCTGCATGAACCAAAGTGCCTTTACTTAGTCCCTTTCATGTGAGTCACTTCTGTGGACATTTCCTGTAGAGACATGTTTCTGTACAAACCTTAAACAAAGACTATCTATCCCTGAAGCACTGTGTTTAGAGTTCATCATCCTAAGGAGGGGGTTGAGTCCTGGGAACTAGCCTTCAGTGCCCTTATTGCATTTCCAGTGATCTTCTAGCTGCAGCTAGATAGGTAGTGTTACCTTCCAGTACAAAGCTTTCTAGGCCCAACCCAGCTGCCTCTAGTTCTTCCAGGTGAAGGTCATGGTCGTGCTCTACCCTGCTGCCTTCAACACTGTTGCCACAGAGCAAGACAAAAGGTCAGTGATGATCACACCCATCTGCCCCTTGGCCTACATCACAGAACATTGCACATACCTGCTGACTGCAGAACTACAAGTTCCAGAGACTTAGTTCCACTTATTAAGTTCTGGGAGCCTCAAACTCAAGATGCTCCTACCTCAGCTTCCAAGGTGGCTGAGATTTTAGGCATGAGACACTGTGCCCAGCTCATTTCTGGGAAATTAACCCTTGTTATTATGGGAGAAAGTTCGTGTGGATTGCAGAATGTGAGAAAAACTTGCTATGTAAAAATGTGTGTGAAAGATATATACAATGAATTTAATTGTGCATGGTGTGAGGAAAGTCCTACTTGAGGCTTTATCTGCTGACTTATGATAAATGGTACTCAGGCACTAGGAATTAAAATCAGTCCCATCAAAAAACAGAACATGGAGAAGATAAGGAAATTTAAGATATCTTTTTCACCACTGATGGTTCTGTGATTAGTAAAACCACTTTGAAAAAGTTTGCCTCTACCTCCTAAAGATCTTTGGGGGGCCAAGTTTTTCCACCTGTGCCAGGAATTATGAAGATCTCTTCTCTATGGAATGTGACATTACCCAGCAGCTTGGATTGCTCTGCTCCTCAGCTTCCCCAAGGGAATCAGAGAGGCATCACAATTGTTGCTGCAGAATCATCAAAAACTGAAAACCCAGCAGTGCCAACCTCCCTGGAACTGGTGAGGAGGTGAAGCACTCACGTGGAGGATGGTGACCGGGATTTAAGAAGAACCCTGATCCACTGCCTCAGCTGCCTAAAAGAAGAGAGGATCTTGGTGGTCACTGACCTGTCTTTGCCCTTCTTGAATCTGTTCAAAATATTCTTCTCTAAGAATACTGCCAACTCAAGGGAGAGGCCTAAAGCTACTGGCATTGCAGGTTAGCTTTGAGAAAATACTTAAACTTTGTTTTATTTTTTGTTTTCTATGCTTGCCAGAAACTTCATTTATAATATTAAAGAAAGGAGTGATAGCAGATGTCCTTTTTCATTTTCCTGATTTAAAACAATTCTAGTATTTCTAATGGAGAACATGTATAACCAATTTTTATTGATATCACCTACTTGATCATTTCCACAGCGTATGAAATGAAATGAAAGAACTTGCAAACATACCAGTGGAAAATCTAAGAGTTCTCTCATCCAAAGTACTTGGAGCAAGTCAGTACAACCAGAATACAAGGCAGAGAGCCCAGCTGTTATTTTTCAGATAGCAAGAATTTCCCCCAAATGGGATTGTAATGACTTCGGCAGCTATGCATGAACTAATCTGAATAGGTTCTGGACTGTCTTGCCTGGGACAGATGCCCTCATAAATCTTGGGATGCTACACATTTGATGGTAAAGTTCTTTCTAGTAGTGACTCTCAAAGTTCAGTCCCCAGCCTCAGCTGTTTTAATTGTTAAGGAGTTCAAGAAAGGCTGATTACCAAATACCTGCATAATAATCATGATAATACGGGCAATTACAAAATAAGTTAGCTTTGTTCCTGAAAATGTCTAATTTCCTCAATGAATTTATCTTTCAGAGTGTAGTTTTAAAGTGATAAATAGTAGCTTCTAAATTGATAAATAATTTGGTCATTCAAACTGTTAGTAGCAATGCTCGAAAGTAACCTGAATATCTCAGCAGGAAGTTGGTACAAACTAGGTCACATCAGTAGCAGTACCCAGAGTCCACTCTCTGGGAGTTCTCAGAGGAATTCTCACAAGAACTTCTCTGTCAGCCTAGGCTATTGCAGGCAACTTAACCACTGTGATTATAAACCATCACCTGCAATATTCGGTCCTTGTACACAGGGGGAAAGTGCCCATCTCTTTCCTCTGCCTCCCTTTAGCACAATAGTCCAAGCACAAAACTAGACCCTATCTCTAATATTAGACCAGGCTGTGGATTTAACAAGATTGCATAAAGCTAGACTTGGTAAAGGAGTAATTTACAACTGGCTACTAGCTATACCTGCTCTTGAATCGCTAGTTCCCAGTCTGTTCTCCATCTCTCTAGAGGATGGCCTTGTGCTTAGAGTCCCTTCTCCTTCACTGTTAAGGAAAAGGCCATGTTTTCACTATCACCCAAAAGCACCTCACACACGCCTCATTTCTGTAGACTCCAGGTCCAAGTCAAGGCTCAGAGATGAATGATTTAAGCTACCTCAGGCCTATCTCCCCCACTGTCTGTTCCCATCTTTTACTTTTAAAGGCAATTTATCAGGTAGTATCTACTTTCTTCACTGGAATCTCCATTTCCATTCATAAAGTTCACCCTATAATTCTAGTAGCATATCCCTTTAAAACACAGTAGTACTACATTTCTATAAGATTTGCATAGTTACTGTTGTGGGTTGAACGGTGCCCCCTCTCAGAAACATGTTGTATCCTAGACCCTGAGAATGTGACCTTACTTGGAAACAGAGTCTGTCAATGGTCAAGTTAAGATGAGGTCATGAGGGAGGTTCCCACAGTATGGTTCCGATAGTACGTCCTTACAAAAAAGTTTCAGAAGAAACAGAAAACTTATTTCCTTGAAAAGAATGATTGTGACAGGGAATTGTGTTTTCAACAAATGGAACTGAGACACTTGTATTTTTACTTGATTTAAAAGTTTTATTAGTACTTGTTTGCAATACATAGTGATCACATTCATCGTGAGGAGACTGTGCATGCATAGGACACAGTTTTACTCTTTCTGTGCTCTCTTCTCTCTTCTTCCCCCGTCTCTTGGTCCCCTGCTCTTTCACAAAGGATCCATCTCCTTGTTTCCTATTATCTACCTTTTATTTTGTTCTTTAATTTCTTTATACTTTAGGTTTCTCATATAAGAAAAATCATCTGATATTTATTTATTTATTTTAAATTTTATTTTCTTGGTACATTCTAGGTATACAATATAATGACATTCATCATTGGAAATTTGCACATTTACACAATCTCTCTTGATTCTTATTTTTCCCCCTTCCCTTGCCCTCCCTTCAACCCTCCCTATTTACAAAGACTTTGTTTCCTTTTTTTCATTTTCTCATATTAATTCCATTCCCTTCTTTCCTTTCCCTAAC